CTTGGAGAAGGACATCATGCTTGGGAGGGTAGAGGGACGACACGGGAGGGGAAGGCCCTCTGTGAGGTGGATTGATTCAGTGACTGGGATAATCGGGATGGGAGTGTCAGAGTGTGACTGGCACAAGACAGAGCAGAGTTTAGGGCTGTTGTACATAGGGTCACTATGAGTCGCAAGTGACTCGACGGCACATAACAACAACAACAACCTTTATCTTTTTGTGGAAACACACATTTTTAAAGACATTATGAGGTGTCTTCATTTTTAAAAGCTAAACAAATATTCTGACATATATTGAACATGTTGCAGGGAGGGACTTGTCCTTGGAGAGGGACATCATCCTTGGGAGGGTGGAAGGCCAGACAGCACAGGAGGGGAAGACCCTCTATGAGGTGGATTGATTCAGTGACTGGGTTAATGGGCTAGGTGTGTCAGAGACAGTGAGATTGGCACAGAGCAGAGCAGTGTTTAGGACTATTGTACATGGAGTTGCTATGAGTCACAAGCAACTCGGATGGAACATAACAACAACAAAAAAAATATTCTGATATAGCCAAGATTGAGACTGGCTAGGTTAAGGATTTATTTTGGTTTTGGCTTATGGGGTTTTTTTTGTTTGTTTGTTTTTTTGTGGTTTTGGTTTGGATTTTTATTTTTATTATCTTCATCATCTAGCTCCATAAGTCCCAACAACACATTTAAGGTGAAGAAAGTCAGTCTACTCTCCTCTCCCAATTTCTCCTTCTCTTCCTCATTCTCTAAACAAACCTGTACTCCTTCCGACAATCCTTGTGCAGTGCACAGAGCTGCCAGCCTGAAACTTATTGTAGCAAACTCTTAGGACTCTTTCACTCCTCCTAAGAAAATGCATGCCCAAGATATATTTGCTTGGCTCCTGTGTCCTGGGAGTTATAGGCAGAGAATTACTCCACAATTGCAAAATCATCAGTGCCACAGATACATAATTTGAAACCATGTCATGTCTGTTAAGATTCATGTTGGATACAATTTGTTTAAGACTTTCTCCCTAACATA